TGGTAAGCCATTGTTGAATAGAGTGTCACAGTATAGAGTTGCTGCTTCAGAGTGCAGTTCTGACTCCAAAAGTTTACAAAGTATAACTAGTCAGAGTGAAGATATAAAACCTTTAATGATTTGTGAGGAGGAACCAAAATTGTCTACTTCTGTTATTAAAGAGTTTGAAAATGATGAAGTTGACGGTAAATTGAATATTCGTGATAATGATCATGATACTTCACAGTTGTCTTTGGTTGATCATGATGAGATGAGGGATATGCCTACTACTGCTAAGTTGAAAAAAGTTTCTGTACAACTTGAACGTGAAGTAGAAATAAATGCAGATGCAGTTGCAGAAGGCATACATACTTGTGAGACCGTCAGTGTGATTGATCAGCATGTGGCCCACCTATCATCAGATGCTAGTGCTAAGCCTGAGCTGATAGTAAAAGACAGCAGTGGTGGTGGTCTTGCAGGTAGACAAATTTCTGAAAGTCGATCAACAACAGCTTTTGATCCACCGCTATCTTCATCAACTGATATCAATCAGTCGTCGTTCGTGCTGTCATCCACAATGAAACAGACACCCATGAACTCAAGTATCTTGTGCAATGACTATGCTAGTATCAGTTCGTTTGAAAGGACGAATATCAATGGTCAGTTTAGTGTGGATAAGCCAAGTGTAAAGGAGAGAGTTATTGTTAAATTGACTTGCATGAATAAAGGCATTTCTAGTTTCAAGTTACTAATTGAATGTTATTATCTTTGGTGTAAATTACTCTGTTTCTACACTTGGTTGATGAGATATGTCGTGTGTTTGTTGGTCATCTATATTCTACGATACAATGACATGGGCGTGTTACTGTTCAGATTTGAGGATATAGCTCATAGAAGGAAGTCAGCAAATGAACTCTGCGACGATTTTCCAACCTAGGGCGTCAACCTGAGAAGGGTTGTAGGCGTACTGGTGTAAGTCCTACAGTTCTTCAAAGGGTAGCGCATCAATGAGCAGTCCAATGTGCTTGCTGTATGATCTTGTACATATGTTCATATTGTATATACTGAATTGATATCATCTGTCATCTAGCTGTTGGTAATTCTGTTTGTGTCCGGACGACTTCCACTTGGATCATCAACCTGAGAAGGAATGTAGGCGTACTGCTGTAAGTCCTACAGTTCTTCAAGGGTAGTTTGTCATGCCGGAATCCACAACATTTGATGTAGTGATTGTACATATGTTTGTGTTAAATAATTGTGTGAGTTCCAATCATTGTAATCGTTGGTTATTCTTGTTTGTGTTCGGACATTCCACAAATTACAATCGTCAACCTGAGAAGGGTTGTAGGTGTACTGGTGTAAGTCCTGCGATTCTTCAAAGGAATTCCATCGAGATACAATCTGCGAGTTTGTTTGTACTGTTTGTATATATGTGTGGTGTGTCATATCAATTGGTGTTTTTGGATCCATTCTGTTTACTCGTTGTTTTCGTACCTTGGTGTTATTGCATAATTTTGTTAAAATTTTCGTCGTGCTTACTTCTGAAGTTGTTACGAGTCTTCTTCATCCGTGAATCAATTGATTGATGTTAAGGACAGCAGATGGGTTGTATACGCCGGGGAGGCTATCGCTGAGAATGAAATGCACACGGAGATAATTGTTAGCTGCGGTCCGACACGCCGGGGAGAAAGAGTGTAAACGACGGAGGCTCGCATGCGTCACCGCTACTAGAACTGAGGCAGAATGAGTGATAAGCGATTGCAGTGGTCATTGGTAGTGAGTAGATAAGAGGATGTGCGTAGAGTATCGTGAGGTGCTGCCATGGTCACTTTGCATTCGGCAAGAGTCATTCTAGCAAGTGGAGACTGTGTTGCAAGATGTCAAGAGGAGGTCTCTATCTGGAGGCGCAGGTCGTCATTGATGTGTGAGATTGTGCTGTGGGTATGCTTGTGGTGTGTTGGCTTTTCTGTTTGTTTTCCATTCCAGCTCTGTCCGTGTGACCCAGGTTCTCGCGATGGCATCCAAGTCAACGTGTATTGGTCGTGAAGGAAAAAGGGGATGGATCCGTTTTTTGCCGAAGAGTGTCAATGTAGTCGAAGATTGAACGATCAATTCTTGGTTGTTTGCTCAAAATCAACTTCCTCGATTTTCGCGGAGGCATCAATACGACAGTCATCGTCTCATCGGTCGCTGTTCAGAAAGAAGAGTGAAACATCGTCAGAAGTAACAACGATTTATTATTGTAATATTTGTTTACAGACCTTAGTTTGCTTAGTTCGCTTATTCCTTCTATATGTTGGTGTAACAATAAACAAATATCAAACGGCAGATCGGTGTTTTGGTTTTTGCGTCCGTTATAACTAAGCGTTTCTGAGAAATCTTCTAAGAACAGCGTGGGCCCGAGCGTAGCGAGAGCTGGGCATTAACGGTTTATGAGACTTTGCTGACACGTGTCGTTTTGCATGATTAATTCAATGTAGTTGGTGTATTAACTTATCAGTGTTATATCTCCCAATGAATTTCTAATGGTATATATATATTCCCGGAAACTTACGGAAGCCTTCAAACTGAGGACAGGAGTGAGTCAAGGCTGTCCACTATCGCCAATGATCTTCCTGATTGCAGTAGATTGGATAATGCGACAGACAACGGGCAATGAGGAAAAAAACCTTGGAGGATCTGGATCAGGTTTTCGGCGATGACGTATGTCTGATTTCCCACAAACTGGAAGATATGCAAGTGAAAAGCAACAAGCTGGCAGAAGAAGCATCAAAGATAGGATTTCCTTCAAGTGAACATAGATAAAACAGAGGTGATGAAGATTTCTGGCCAACATCAACAGCAACAACAACAACAGACAACAATCAGTCAGCATAAATGGGAGGAACCTGAAAGAAACGACCTCCTTTACCTACCGACATGGGGAGCATCGTTACTACTATAGGCGGAACTGACGAGGATATCAAAGCGAGCATCATCGGGAAAGCAAGACAAGCTTTCATTACTCTCAAGTCTGTGTGGAGGTCAACAGCACTCAGAATGACAATAAGACGCGGATTTTCAAATCCAACGTGGAGTCAGTGCTACTATCCCATCATTTTTAAATTCAGTAATTTCCTTGATGCCAGTAAGTTTACTAAATGTCAGGATCACTTAAGACTGAATAGCAGTTATAAGTCTATAACCGTAGCTCAGGATAAAACACCGTGTCAGCGCAGAATAATGCGTAGTAATAACCTGGTCACCTCCTCTAGCTTTGATTTACCAAAAAAGGATCGTGCACAGCAACAGACACCTAGTGCTGAAACTAGCATTCAGCAAACTACACAACAACCACGCTTGCCAATGGAACTAGGAACTGATTTAGATACCAGTACCCCTGTAAATAAAGCCTCATCGAAAGATGTTAAAATGACTAGAACTTCTGCAAGTTGTTCTAAGAAATTTCCCCCCAAACGTAGTAACCTCACCACGATGAACAAATTTCGCAGGGTTGAGACTAATGATGGGGAAGAATACTTTGTATTCAATAAGCCTGCTGAGAGTAAGAATGCCAACAAACCATCACTTGTTACGAAAAACTCCTCTCGAAACATAAGTATATCTGGAGGTGTTCCGCATGCTCCACCTTATAGAAAGTCAGGCTCCAAGACTCCTAAAGTCTTGCAGCCAAAGCACCTTCCTTCACAATTCCCTTTAAGTTATAAAAACAACCCGAAGGTGTATACCGGTATGACGAATAGCAGTTGGATGGGTAGACCTTTTGATGCTATGCCTTTTAACCGTCAACCTAGGCCCAACCTGTACTACCCTTATATCCAGGAACACATGGTAAATTTTCCAGGTGTCCCGAATCACTGGTACGACCCATGGCACCTAGGACCACCTCATTGCACCAACCCGATGTACAGACACCCAGTCCGACCTCCTTTTCATTCATAAATTCTTGCGGTGCTGACGCACAAATAGATTTAGGTTATGGTGACATTTTAAGCCAGTTTGTAGTATCCCGTGACTTATTCACGATATTGCTAATTAATGCACGTTCCTTAATCAATAAGATATCTGAACTAAGGACATTATTATTAGTCGCCAAGCCTACTGTAGCTCTGATTACTGAGTCATGGTGCTCATCCTCTGTACTTGATGTGCATATAGGTATCGATGATTACACTGTACACCGTGCAAACAGAGATTGCAAGCGTGGTGGAGGATGTCTCATATATATACATAACTCATTTGTAGTCAGTAAGGTGGAAGATGAAACAATGAATAATGTACCTGACTCACTCTGGGTTGTCTTACATGGAGATAAGTACAAACTTCTCATAGGCTGTGTTTATCGAGCACCAAGCTCAACAAAAGAAACTGATGCGTTATTAGCTAAATCGTTTGCACACGCATCCTCGTTTAGTGCTAATTACAAAATAATTGCAGGGGACTTCAATCTTCCAGAAGTCAATTGGCTAACTAGTTCCGGCCCCCAACGCTTCGACGAATTACTTGCCACTATAGACTGTTATGGATGGCAACAACACGTCCAGACACCTACTCGTGGTGACAACATGTTGGACCTTGTTTTTTGTCATGACACAATCCCAGTATCCACCTATGTTGGTAATAGATTTTCCAGTAGTGACCATAGAATGGTACTCTGCTCTCTGCCTTTCTCACCACTAAATACAGGAAACAAACAAGACTCAGGAAGCACAATATGTCGTAGTTACAAATATACAGACTGGGGATTAGTCCAAGAACTTATTCGACTCTGTCAATGGGATGACTATTTTACCACTGACTCCCTGGAGGCCTTAGTAACCCTGTTTTACAGGAATGTTACCCTTTGTCTAGATACAGTTGCTCCAAAGAAAATAGTGAAATTAAGTAGACACCGAACTGAATATATTCCAAGGGCACACCGTAATAAGTTAAGGAAACTGAAGAAACAGTACTATTCCACTAAGGACATATCACTATTGCTCTCAATCCACGAGTCTCTTGAATCTCTCAAGCGCCTACGCTCTCAAAAGGACCTCGACGAAGAGTTAACGGCACTTGAAAGTACCTCCAAAGTTTATAACTTAACGGCACTTCTTAAAAAACGAATGCAGTCGGCGAGGGAAATCCCATACTTACTTCACGACAAAGTAATCTACAATGAACCTGCCACTATCTGTGAACTCTTCAGTGATTGGTTTGCAAACTTTAGTTTAGAAACACATATGCCTGGTGAAACCGCTCCCCTTACTATCTCTTCCCTTGAAAGCATTGTGTTCACTAATCAGTTAATAGTACAAGCAATTAAAAGCCTTAAACCTTCCACTAGTACGGGACCGGATGGCCTCGCTTCGATAATTTTCAAAAACAGTGGGTGTGATATACCCTTGTTACTTCTTAAATTCTTCTCAATATCTATGGACACTGGCACTTACCCTAGTGAGTGGAAAACTAGCTTCATAATTCCACATTACAAATCTGGTGATAGGGCAAACGTCCGCAATTACAGACCCATAAATATAACCCCAGTTATCTCACGAATCATGGAGAAAGTTGTAAAAGATCAATTGTCAGACTACCTAATTAGGGAAGATCTTGTTACAAGGTCTCAACACGGATTTCTCAAAAATAGATCCTGCGTTACTTGCCACTTCGACTTTTTCAACTGCATCACTAGTAGTCGCGAAGCACGTAAGCTAGTCGTTGTTCTCTACTTCGATATATCTAGGGCATTTGACATGGTATCTCACAGTATTCTCTTTGAGAAGCTGTACTCTTGTGGAATTCGCAACCCATTACTGAACTGGTTAAAATCATTTCTAAGCAACAGGGTACAAATAACCAAAGTTGGATCTGTATTGTCTCATCCTAGGCAGATCTCAAGTGGGGTCGTGCAAGGTAGTGTCCTAGGTCCACTTTTATTCACAATCTACATTAACAGCATTTGCAAGTGCTTCACCTTAGGCAAACCATTCCTATATGCTGACGACCTCAAAGTCGTCTACTCCTGCTACACTCATGAATTAAGCGATATGGTTACTAAAATACATCTTGAACTAAGTAGCCTTGCAACATGGTGTGCTGAATCCTGTCTAAATTTTAACATTGACAAATGCGGCTGGATTTGTATCGGCAACAGTAACCTTGATCTAACTCTTGAAATAAATGGGCGAAAACTAGCTAAGCTCAACTCAGTCGTAGATCTCGGTATTAGATACTCTAGTAACCTAACGTTCGCTGAACAGACTGATTATGCCAGACGTAAAACGCGAAGGCTGATAGGATGCATAACACGCAATTTCTTTTGTTGTGAAACTAGGGTTTTATTATACAAAGTATGTGTCCGACCTATCTTAGAATACTGCCCGTTTATTCTTAGCGGACTAAGACAAAATGACAAGCTTAAATTAGAGGGAGTGCAACGGCAGTTTACCTCAAGAACTCTTGGTTTAGAAAGTGGTCTGGAATACCATGAGCGATGCGTAAGACTAAGATTAGAACCCCTCTGGAAAAGACGCCTTAAGCTAAACCTTATCTTTTACTACAAGCTAACTAATCTTCTCTTGCATTCCTCCGAGCCAATAACTAAACCTACCGCTGTCATCAGTTACAATCTTAGAAATCATCACAACCTAGCTGCTATGGAGCACTGTCAGACTTACGTGCGGTACAACTTCTTCTTAAATAAGTTTTCAGTCATTTGGAATAGACTACCAGCTAATGTGCGCGATGCAAACACACTTCCAGTGTTCATCTCCTCAGTCACCAGACTGCTCAAAGATGACAATGCACTTTTGCGCCTGACTCTTACACCTTCTTTTTCACCCTACATAGATATTTTAAGTTCTTTAAACGTGTAGTTACAACAAACTACAATTATAAATTTTAATATTATTGGAACTAGATGATTAACATTTCTACACAGGACAGTAATAATATTAGTTTACACATAATATAAAAGTTAGCATAACGGGACTAGTTAGTTTGTGTACCAAAATAACCACAGTTACTAAACAGAATATATATGTATATATTTATTAATCACTCCTTAAGGACTCCCGTTGCTTTCTTTTGCGTTGCTGTTGTTTGTCTTCTTTTTTCTCTCACCATTTCAGCTTCCATTTGACTTTTTGAATGAGAATGAATAATGTGGATATTTGACCATTTACAATGACAAATGATCTGCAAACATTATTGGTCCCGTATCTTTCAGTTGCCTGGTTAATAACGAATTAACTTTCTCCACGACGCAACCTGGATTACATTTGTGGAATATACTCTTATACCAATGGAAAAGTATCTATTTGTAATACAACGTCACGATTGTAGCTTATAACATAACTGATCGTATCTGTAAAAATAGCTTCCTTATTACCCAATTTGGATATAAATCAAATCAAAAATAAGATTCGGATTTGTACACACCCAAGTTATATTGAGGAATTACTTCAAGCTTTATTTTTTCCCAAGTATTTTTAATCCATCCAAAACTTACTTGGGTTTTTTTGTTAATGCGAAGACAATATTCCTATATTTCATGATGTGCTCCATTGAATGACTTGTTATATTGTGGAATAACTTCAAGCTTTATTTTTTCCCAAGTATTTTTAATCCATCCAAAACTTACTTGGGTTTTTTTGTTAATGCGAAGACAATATTCCTATATTTCATGACGTGCTCCATTGAATGACTTGTTATATTGTGGAATAACTTCAAGCTTTATTTTTTCCCAAGTATTTTTAATCCATCCAAAACTTACTTGGGTTTTTTTGTTAATGCGAAGACAATATTCCTATATTTCATGACGTGCTCCATTGAATGACTGGTTATATATTGTTCCCACAGACCTAAGACAAAAACGCCAGCAACCATGTAACTTGACCATAAACCAAATTTATGAAATTTATATAATGCTTATCCATGCCTGTATATTTGGTGTGTCCTACACAAGTAGGAAAAAATGTGTATTTTATTAAAACATTATTATTAAGTATGATTGCTAATCGTATATGTAATTTATCATATTGATGATGCCTGTAAACTGGCGTCTCTCATGTACAAAATGAGAATATACTATTATTATTATTACTGTAGCTCTGATTACTGAATCATGGTCCTCATCCTCTGTACTTGGTGTACATATAGGTATCGATGATTACACTGTACACCGTGCAAACAGAGATTGCAAGCGTGGTGGAGGATGTCTCATATATATACATAACTCATTTGTAGTCAGTAAGGTGGAAGATGAAACACTGAATAATGTACCTGACTCACTCTGGGTTGTCTTACATGGAGATAAGTACAAACTTCTCATAGGCTGTGTTTATCGAGCACCAAGCGCAACAAAAGAAACTGATGCGTTATTAGCTAAATCGTTTGCACACGCATCCTCGTTTAGTGCTAATTACAAAATAATTGCAGGGGACTTCAATCTTCCAGAAGTCAATTGGCTAACTAGTTCCGGCCCCCAACGCTTCGACGAATTACTTGCCACTATCGACTGTTATGGATGGCAACAACACGTCCAGACACCTACTCGTGGTGACAACATGTTGGACCTTGTTTTTTGTCATGACACAATCCCAGTATCCACCTATGTTGGTAATAGATTTTCCAGTAGTGACCATAGAATGGTACTCTGCTCTCTGCCTTTCTCACCACTAAATACAGGAAACAAACAAGACTCAGGAAGCACAATATGTCGTAGTTACAAATATACAGACTGGGGATTAGTCCAAGAACTTATTCGACTCTGTCAATGGGATGACTATTTTACCACTGACTCCCTGGAGGCCTTAGTAACCCTGTTTTACAGGAATGTTACCCTTTGTCTAGATACAGTTGCTCCAAAGAAAATAGTGAAATTAAGTAGACACCGAACTGAATATATTCCAAGGGCACACCGTAATAAGTTAAGGAAGCTGAAGAAACAGTACTATTCCACTAAGGACATATCACTATTGCTCTCAATCCACGAGTCTCTTGAATCTCTCAAGCGCCTACGCTCTCAAAAGGACCTCGACGAAGAGTTAACGGCACTTGAAAGTACCTCCAAAGTTTATAACTTAACGGCACTTCTTAAAAAACGAATGCAGTCGGCGAGGGAAATCCCATACTTACTTCACGACAAAGTAATCTACAATGAACCTGCCACTATCTGTGAACTCTTCAGTGATTGGTTTGCAAACTTTAGTTTAGAAACACATATGCCTGGTGAAACCGCTCCCCTTACTATCTCTTCCCTTGAAAGCATTGTGTTCACTAATCAGTTAATAGTACAAGCAATTAAAAGCCTTAAACCTTCCACTAGTACGGGACCGGATGGCCTCGCTTCGATAATTTTCAAAAACAGTGGGTGTGATATACCCTTGTTACTTCTTAAATTCTTCTCAATATCTATGGACACTGGCACTTACCCTAGTGAGTGGAAAACTAGCTTCATAATTCCACATTACAAATCTGGTGATAGGGCAAACGTCCGCAATTACAGACCCATAAATATAACCCCAGTTATCTCACGAATCATGGAGAAAGTTGTAAAAGATCAATTGTCAGACTACCTAATTAGGGAAGATCTTGTTACAAGGTCTCAACACGGATTTCTCAAAAATAGATCCTGCGTTACTTGCCACTTCGACTTTTTCAACTGCATCACTAGTAGTCGCGAAGCACGTAAGCTAGTCGTTGTTCTCTACTTCGATATATCTAGGGCATTTGACATGGTATCTCACAGTATTCTCTTTGAGAAGCTGTACTCTTGTGGAATTCGCAACCCATTACTGAACTGGTTAAAATCATTTCTAAGCAACAGGGTACAAATAACCAAAGTTGGATCTGTATTGTCTCATCCTAGGCAGATCTCAAGTGGGGTCGTGCAAGGTAGTGTCCTAGGTCCACTTTTATTCACAATCTACATTAACAGCATTTGCAAGTGCTTCACCTTAGGCAAACCATTCCTATATGCTGACGACCTCAAAGTCGTCTACTCCTGCTACACTCATGAATTAAGCGATATGGTTACTAAAATACATCTTGAACTAAGTAGTCTCGCATCATGGTGTGCCGATTCCTGTCTAAATTTTAACATTGACAAATGCGGCTGGATTTGTATCGGCAACAGTAACCTTGATCTAACTCTTGAAATAAATGGGCGAAAACTAGCTAAGCTCAACTCAGTCGTAGATCTCGGTATTAGATACTCTAGTAACCTAACGTTCGCTGAACAGACTGATTATGCCAGACGTAAAACGCGAAGGCTGATAGGATGCATAACACGCAATTTCTTTTGTTGTGAAACTAGGGTTTTATTATACAAAGTATGTGTCCGACCTATCTTAGAATACTGCCCGTTTATTCTTAGCGGACTAAGACAAAATGACAAGCTTAAATTAGAGGGAGTGCAACGGCAGTTTACCTCAAGAACTCTTGGTTTAGAAAGTGGTCTGGAATACCATGAGCGATGCGAAAGACTAAGATTAGAACCCCTCTGGAAAAGACGCCTTAAGCTAAACCTTATCTTTTACTACAAGCTAACTAATCTTCTCTTGCATTCCTCCGAGCCAATAACTAAACCTACCGCTGTCATCAGTTACAATCTTAGAAATCATCACAACCTAGCTGCTATGGAGCACTGTCAGACTTACGTGCGGTACAACTTCTTCTTAAATAAGTTTTCAGTCATTTGGAATAGACTACCAGCTAATGTGCGCGATGCAAACACACTTCCAGTGTTCATCTCCTCAGTCACCAGACTACTCAAAGATGACAATGCACTTTTGCGCCTGACTCTTACACCTTCTTTTTCACCCTACATAGATATTTTAAGTTCTTTAAACGTGTAGTTACAACAAACTACAATTATAAATTTTAATATTATTGGAACTAGATGATTAACATTTCTACACAGGACAGTAATAATATTAGTTTACACATAATATAAAAGTTAGCATAACGGGACTAGTTAGTTTGTGTACCAAAATAACCACAGTTACTAAACAGAATATATATGTATATATTTATTAATCACTCCTTAAGGACTCCCGTTGCTTTCTTTTGCGTTGCTGTTGTTTGTCTTCTTTTTTTCTCTCACCATTTCAGCTTCCATTTGACTTTTTGAATGAGAATGAATAATGTGGATATTTGACCATTTACAATGACAAATGATCTGCAAACATTATTGGTCCAGTATCTTTCAGTTGCCTGGTTAATAACGAATTAACTTTCTCCACGACGCAACCTGGATTACATTTGTGGAATATACTCTTATACCAATGGAAAAGTATCTATTTGTAATACAACGTCACGATTGTAGCTTATAACATAACTGATCGTATCTGTAAAAATAGCTTCCTTATTACCCAATTTGGATATAAATCAAATCAAAAATAAGATTCGGATTTGTACACACCCAAGTTATATTGAGGAATTACTTCAAGCTTTATTTTTTCCCAAGTATTTTTAATCCATCCAAAACTTACTTGGGTTTTTTTGTTAATGCGAAGACAATATTCCTATATTTCATGATGTGCTCCATTGAATGACTTGTTATATTGTGGAATAACTTCAAGCTTTATTTTTTCCCAAGTATTTTTAATCCATCCAAAACTTACTTGGGTTTTTTTGTTAATGCGAAGTTAATATTCCTATATTTCATGACGTGCTCCATTGAATGACTGGTTATATATTGTTCCCACAGACCTAAGACAAAAACGCCAGCAACCATGTAACTTAACCATAAACCAAATTTATGAAATTTATATAATGCTTATCCATGCCTGTATATTTGGTGTGTCCTACACAAGTAGGAAAAAATGTGTATTTTATTAAAACATTATTATTAATTATGATTGCTAATCGTATATGTAATTTATCATATTGATGATGCCTGTAAACTGGCGTCTCTCATGTACAAAATGAGAATATACTATTATTATTATTACTGTAGCTCTGATTACTGAATCATGGTCCTCATCCTCTGTACTTGGTGTACATATAGGTATCGATGATTACACTGTACACCGTGAAAATAGAGATTGCAAGCGTGGTGGAGGATGTCTCATATATATACATAACTCATTTGTAGTCAGTAAAATGGAAGATGAAATACTGAACGAGGTACCTGACTCATTCTGGGTTGTCTTACATGGAGATAAGTACAAACTTCTCATAGGCTGTGTTTATCGAGCACCAAGCGCAACAAAAGAAACTGATGCGTTATTAGCTAAATCGTTTGCACACGCCTCCTTGTTTAGTGCTAATTACAAAATAATTGCAGGGGACTTCAATCTTCCAGAAGTCAATTGGTTAGCTAGTTCCGGCCCCCAACGCTTCGACGAATTACTTGCCACTATCGACTGTTATGGATGGCAACAACACGTCCAGACACCTACTCGTGGCGACAACATGTTGGACCTTGTTTTTTGTCATGACACAATCCCAGTCTCCACCTTTGTTGGTAACAGATTTTCCAGTAGTGACCATAGAATGGTACTCTGCTCTCTGCCTTTCTCACCACTAAATACAGGAAACAAACAAGATTCAGGAAGCACAATATGTCGTAGTTACAAATATACAGACTGGGGATTAGTCCAAGAACTTATTCGACTCTGTCAATGGGATGACTATTTTACCACTGACTCCCTGGAGGCCGTAGTAACCCTGTTTTACAGGAATGTTACCCTTTGTCTAGATACAGTTGCTCCAAAGAAAATAGTGAAATTAAGTAGACACCGAACTGAATATATTCCAAGGGCACACCGTAATAAGTTAAGGAAGCTGAAGAAACAGTACTATTCCACTAAGGACATATCACTATTGCTCTCAATCCACGAGTCTCTTGAATCTCTCAAGCGCCTACGCTCTCAAAAGGACCTCGACGAAGAGTTAACGGCACTTGAAAGTACCTCCAAAGTTTATAACTTAACGGCACTTCTTAAAAAACGAATGCAGTCGGCGAGGGAAATCCCATACTTACTTCACGACAAAGTAATCTACAATGAACCTGCCACTATCTGTGAACTTTCAGTGATTGGTTTGCAAACTTTAGTTTAGAAACACATATGCCTGGTGAAACCGCTCCCCTTACTATCTCTTCCCTTGAAAGCATTGTGTTCACTAATCAATTAATAGTACAAGCAATTAAAAGCCTTAAACCTTCCACTAGTACGGGACCGGATGGCCTCGCTTCGATAATTTTCAAAAACAGTGGGTGTGATATACCCCTGTTACTTCTTAAATTCTTCTCAATATCTATGGACACTGGCACTTACCCTAGTGAGTGGAAAACTAGCTTCATAATTCCACATTACAAATCTGGTGATAGGGCAAACGTCCGCAATTACAGACCCATAAATATAACCCCAGTTATCTCACGAATCATGGAGAAAGTTGTAAAAGATCAATTGTCAGACTACCTAATTAGGGAAGATCTTGTTACAAGGTCTCAACACGGATTTCTCAAAAATAGATCCTGCGTTACTTGCCACTTCGACTTTTTCAACTGCATCACTAGTAGTCGCGAAGCACGTAAGCTAGTCGTTGTTCTCTACTTCGATATATCTAGGGCATTTGACATGGTATCTCACAGTATTCTCTTTGAGAAGCTGTACTCTTGTGGAATTCGCAACCCATTACTGAACTGGTTAAAATCATTTCTAAGCAACAGGGTACAAATAACCAAAGTTGGATCTGTATTGTCTCATCCTAGGCAGATCTCAAGTGGGGTCGTGCAAGGTAGTGTCCTAGGTCCACTTTTATTCACAGTCTACATTAACAGCATTTGCAAGTGCTTTACCATTCCTATATGCTGACGACCTCAAAGTCGTCTACTCCTGCTACACTCATGAATTAAGCGATATGGTTAATAAAATACATCTTGAACTAAGTAGTCTCGCATCATGGTGTGCTGAATCCTGTCTAAATTTTAACATTGACAAATGCGGCTGGATTTGTATCGGCAACAGTAACCTTGATCTAACTCTTGAAATAAATGGGCGAAAACTAGCTAAGCTCAACTCAGTCGTAGATCTCGGTATTAGATACTCTAGTAACCTAACGTTCGCTGAACAGACTGATTATGCCAGACGTAAAACACGAAGGCTGATAGGATGCATAACACGCAATTTCTTTTGTTGTGAAACTAGGGTTTTATTATACAAAGTATGTGTCCGACCTATCTTAGAATACTGCCCGTTTATTCTTAGCGGACTAAGACAAAATGACAAGCTTAAATTAGAGGGAGTGCAACGGCAGTTTACCTCAAGAACTCTTGGTTTAGAAAGTGGTCTGGAATACCATGAGCGATGCGAAAGACTAAGATTAGAACCCCTCTGGAAAAGACGCCTTAAGCTAAACCTTATCTTTTACTACAAGCTAACTAATCTTCTCTTGCATTCCTCCGAGCCAATAACTAAACCTACCGCTGTCATCAGTTACAATCTTAGAAATCATCACAACCTAGCTGCTATAGAGCACTGTCAGACTTACGTGCGGTACAACTTCTTCTTAAATAAGTTTTCAGTCATTTGGAATAGACTACCAGCTAATGTGCGCGATGCAAACACACTTCCAGTGTTCATCTCCTCAGTCACCAGACTGCTCAAAGATGACAATGCACTTATACGTCTGACTCTTACACCCTCTTTTTCACCCTACATAGATATTTTAAGTTCATTAAACGTGTAGTTACAACAAACTACAATTATAAATTTTAATATTATTGGAACTAGATGATAAACATTTCTACACAGGACAGTAATAATATTAGTTCACACATAATATAAAAGTTTGCATAACGGGACTAGTTAGTTAGTGCACAAAAATAACCATAGTTACTAAACAGAATATACATGCATATATTTATTAATCATTCCTTAAGGACTACCCTTGCTTTCTTTTGCGTTGCTGTTGTTTGTCTTCTTTTTTCTCTCACCATTTCAGCTTCCATTTGACTTTTTGAATGAGAATAAATTATGTGGATATTTGACCATTTACAATGACAAATGATCTGCAAACATTATTGGTCCCATATCTTTCAATTCCTTCGTTAATAACGAATTAACTTCCCCCACGACGCAACCTGGATTACATTTGTGTAATATACTCTTATACCAATGGAAAACTATTAATTTGTAATACAACGTCACGATTGTAACTTATAACATAACTGATCGTATCTGTAAAAATAGCTCTCTTATTACCCAATTTGGATATAAATCAAAAACGAGATTCGGATTTGTACACCTAAGCTATATTGTGGAATTACTTCAAGCTTTATTTTTTCCCAAGTATTTTTAATCCATCCAAAACTTACTTGGGTTTTTTTGTTAATGCGAAGTCTATATTCCTATATTTCATGATGTGCTCCATTGAATGACTGGTTATCACATTGTTCCCACAAACCGAAGACAAAAACGTCAGCAACCATTTAATTTGACTATAAACCAAATTTATGAAATTTAAATAGTGCTTATCCATGCCCGTACATTTGATGTGTCCTACACAGGTAGTAAAAACATGTATTTCATTGAAACATTATTATTAAGTATGATTGCTAATCGTATATGTAATTTATCATATTGATGATGCCTGTAAACTGGCGTCCCTCATGTACAATATGAGAATGTATTATTATTATTATTACTATATGGATCATAGGCTTGGATTGTCACGAGGGGCACTTTGAACAAACTACAGGCATTCACCTTCGCTCAATAGTACTCAAGATCGGATTGATGGCCAGGAAAGATTAGCAACAGGCATCTCTGAGAGCGAACCAACCAAGAACTTATTGTGCAACAAATCTGCAGGGGAAAATGGAGGTTGATTGGCCATACTCTGAGAAAAGGAATCATCAAGTGACATCACACGTTAGGCCATCGCTCGAGTGAAGGTCGTACAAGAAAGGGTGAGTTGATCGTCAGTGTGAGGGTAACGTGGAAAAGGTCATGAGAAGAGGTGATGAAAACATATGGAGAGACGTAAGGCTAGGTGAAAGCGTTTGCAGAGAAGCAAACGCAATGGAGACGAGCGGTCAAAGCCCTATGTTACTCAAGGAATTAAAGGAAACAATAATATAATAATTTGTATCTAAATGTCAATTGAATCCAAGATACAAGGTGACAATAATGTTCATAATTGTGCGGAAAAGTCCTGCATTTCTTAAAGGAATTACGTGAAGACATGATCGTCGAGGTTATGTGTACTGTTTGTATATATGTGTAGTGTGTCATATCAGTTGGCGTTTTTGGATTCATTGTGTTTACTTGTTGTTTTCGTACTTGGTTGTTTTGCATAATTTTTTCGTTGTGATTACTTCTGAAGTTGTTCCGAGTCTTCTACATCCGTGAATGAATTGACTGATGTTAAAGACAGCAGATGGGTCGTTTACGCCGGGGAGGCTATTGCTGAGAATGACATGCACACGCAGATAAGGATTAGTGGTGGAATCAATGGTTGAGAATGAATGTTTCTATTTAGGCTGTGGTCCCACACACCGAGGAGCGATAGTGTAGACGACTGAGGCTTGCACAGGTCACCGTTACTAGAACTTAAGCAGAATGAGTGGCAAGCGATTGCAGTGGTAATTGGTAGTGAGTAGATAAGACGATGTGCGAAGAGTATCATGAGGTGGTGCTATGGTCGCGTTGCTTTCTGCAAGAGTCATTCTAGCAAGTGGCGATTGTGTTGCAAGATGTCAAGAGGATACCTTCAACTGGAAGGCGTAGATGGTCGTCGATGAGTGAGATCGTGTTGTAGGTATGCTTGTGGTGTGTTGGCTTTTCTATTTGTTTTCCATTTCAGCTTTGTCCGTGTAGCCCAGGTTCTCTCAGTGGCATCCAAGTCAACGTGTATTGGTCGTGATGGAAAAAAGGGATGGATCCCTTTTCTGCAGGGGAGTGTCAATGTAGTTTAAGATTGAACGATCATGGTTGATTGC